ATGGATGGATCTTAAGGGATTATGTTAGCTAAATAAGTCAGAAAGAGAGAGACAAATACTGTACAAACACAGCAAGCCTTGAGATTCTGAAACCCAGGATGGTGGTTACCAGGGGGTTGGCGGTGGGGTGGGGGAAACAGGTAAAGGGAATTGACTGAATGGTGGTGAATGAGGACTAGATGTTTGGTCCTGGGTGTGGCTGATGTATGTAGTTATTGGGGTGTGAAGCTGCACAGCTGAAACCTAGATAGTGTTATAAACCAACGTTACCTCAATTAGTAAAGAAGTTTTCTAAAGATAAAGAAGGATGCTATATTTGAGGTAGTGGGACTGGAAGAAGACACACACTGCTAGGCATCAACCACAGAAACATCACAGGATACGCTCGCACACACAATGCCGTGATGATACTACCTGGGGGTGGTGTGGGTGTGAGGGACAAATGCAGGAAGAGAAGGCCCAGCATGTGCAGCAACAGTGAGGGTTGCCTCCTTGGGAATGGTGACGTTAGTATGACAAGATCAGGGGCCATGGAAACAGTGGCGCTAATGTACAAAGGCCAGTGGGAAGAAGCAGAAATTGAATTACTTGATGGCTGGTGTATTTATTTTCTACCAACTTTGGCAGCCTGAGACCCAGTGTAGAGGCAGAAGGAGAGAGAATTCACAGAGCAAGGCTAGTAGAACTGGCAGCAGAGGCTATGCTTTTAGGAGAATTCAGTAGCATGGATGTTTCTATTTACTTTAAAATTTTTAAAGATTTACTTATTTATGCATACAAGAACTGGGATACAGGTCAGAGGTGCAGGGGGTGAGAGGCTTCACCAGAGACAGAGTGGGGAGCAGAACAGGCAGAGTGACAGAATTACACTGCTGAGGGGAGCAGCGGGTGAGACCGGAAAGGTCTGCAGCGCCATGTGGGTCAGCTCCCTGGCTGGGGATCGAACTCATGCTGCAGTGGCTACAGAGAGCTTCATATTGCTGCACTGTAACTCACTGTGGCACCAGGGAGGGCCCTACTTCAAATTCTAACAAGCCTAAAACTAAATCTTAGGTTTTTTTTTTTAAAAAAAAAAGGGGGGAGGGGGGAAGGAGGAGAGGGGAGAAGGGAGACTTCCTCTGACTGTGCTAACCCCAACAAGAGAGGGGTCCCTAGCCACCAACTTGGATTGCTGAGCACACTTCCCACTGGCAACATTTTAAAAGTCCATATAGGTCACTACACTGTGGAAGGGGATGGGGCAGAGAAAGTGGCAAGTTGTGGGCTGTGGGACCTTTACAGCACAGTGATTTTTAACAAAGTCTCCAAAGTCAAGTAGGCTCGAGTTCCAATCCCTGATCTGACAACTGTGCAACACTAATTTATTTAACCTTCTTACGGAGACCCGGTCTGCCGTGTGTGAAATGGAGACACCAACAGCTATCATCGCAACAGGGTACCAAAGAGAATTAACTAAAACAACGTATACAAAACAGCACCCAGTCCACCGTGATGATGGCAACTTAGGCTGATGTTAAGAACATACAAGATGAGCCTGCAATATGATGTTCTAGAATGTTCAAAAAATTATGGGCACAGGACAAAAGGGACCCCTTGGCCAAGTCCAGAAAAACTTGAAGGTCAAAATAAGTATCAGAACAACAGACTATAACATATTTATTATAACAGAAAACCGTGTCTATACAATAATCAAAAGTTTGATGAGGAACAGGTATTTATAATCTCAGAGTCCATCTCCCCCCAATACTTATTAATTACAA